CCATCAAGACCTGGGCCCAAAATCCATCCGGCTGAAAACAATCGGTTAAGAAAAAAGTTCTCTGGGCCAAGCGCCTCATTCACATCACCGCGCACGAGGGCGTGCCCTTCGTCGCCAGCTGCTCCAGCTGCTCCAGCTGCGGCAAGATGTCCTGGGCCGCGGGCCGCTTGGCGGCGTCCACGTGCCAGGCCGGCTCGATGATGGGGCGCATGTTGGGGTGGCAATCCTGGAGTCGGGGCCTTGGCTCCCTGCCCCTCTGGTACTCCTTCAAGACCATCTCCGGGTCCTTGCCGAGGTGGTGGAAGGGATTGCGGCCCACGTCCATGAAGTACATGATGAGGGCCTCCGAATGACAGCTCGAACTGCAAGCACCGGCCTCAACTTACCTACCAGTAAGCATCATGCTCATACGCTTGCCCTCCCACACGCTTAGAATCAGAAGCGAGGCAAGAACTGCAGGCCGCACACTCCTGCTAATTCCCCCCCCCCTCTTCTCTTCCCACTTTCCTTCTCACAAGCTAATGCCCCGCTCAAGCCTCTATCAACGAAACTGAGCTTTGTTCTGCGGGTGACACCGCCCCCAACCAACCACAATCCTGATCAGCGACAGCGACAATCGGGTGGGACAACATTCCTTTTCGGCAGGGTCCCACAATCTGCTTCAGGGCTGGGCCGACCGCTTTCTTCCACGCTTAGACCAAAAAATGCTGGCTTTAAAGAATCTCACTTTGGCTCCCTTCGAGTAAGGCCCTCATAGCCATACGAAACCTCCCTGATTCACCTAGTACACCTGAAATCTGTTCCCTTCCTAAGTCTCAACGCCCATACGGCAACACCCCACCCATTCCAGGCGGAGGGGCGAAGGCGTAGATGTCCACCTTCTCATTGTAAAGCTGGTGCCTCACCACCTCCGGTGCCATGTAGAGCCAGCTGCCCACGCCCCCAGTCATCCGGTAGTGCTCCTGGGGCATCATCCTGCCTAGGTAGATTTGGTTTCTCTCCCTCTCTCTCTCTCTCTCTCTCTGTGATTTGGTCCATGTTTGTTGTTTTTTTTCTTTTCTCTCTCCCTCGCTCGCTATCTCTCTTTCTCTCTCTCTCTGTGTCTGCGCCAGATGTCTCAAAAGCAGCCAGCGAGCTTCTGTTTCTCGGACCTTTTTGGGCATCAAAAGCTTTCCGAAAGCTGCGCCCAATTTTCGAACCTCATAGGACTACCCACCAGCGCGTCGCGCCGCGGCTCGAAAGACATATGCGACATCATGTCTTGTCAGCCACATCCGTGTTTTCCTGCAATCCTGCAAGCAAGGGCCAACTAGATGACAGGCTTCCAACGTTGCCAAGCCGAGCAAAAGCCGCCCGGTACAGGCGAAGAAAATTCGGGGGGGGGCTGCTGCACAATGAGGAGCATGCTGAGCTCCAAATTTGATGGGTGGATTACAACGGTGTCCAGCTTTTGTCGGGCAGTGCGTAACTAGAACTCAGACCCCCACAATCATGCAACGCACGCATGGAAAGTGACGCAGGTGCTGCGTGCTTGCCGCTGGAAGCTACCCTCTGGCGCCCATCCACAATGTCTACTCCGGCAAGTCGAGTGCGAATTGTGAGCTTCCGTACAGTTCCATGATCAACAAGAATGCATTGGAATATCCAGGCGAAGTGCCGGGCGCACTTAAGGCAAGGTTCCGTGACCAACAAAAAGAATGCATTGAAATATCCTAGGGAAGTGCACTTGATGCGTTCTCTGCAAAGAAGAGATGCAGGCAATGACTTCCCATTACAAATGAATGCACCCCAACAAATAATTTGTTCCCCGCCCCACCCCGCATCTCCCAATACCAAATTAGGTTTATACCAAACCAGCTAAACACGTTGCCCTGTGCGCCTATTCTCGCGGCCTCGTTGTTGAGGGTAGACTGCATGACTCGTAAGCTGCAAGCCTACCACAACTAACAACTAAACAAATGGCCTTTGTGCATCCGCACACACAAATCGGGAACCCTGATTGGAAAACTGATTCGAAGAGGATATTATGCTCAAAAAGAGAACCACCCATGGGTGCCACCCACCCATCCACCCCCCCCCCCCCCCCCCCCCCGGTTTTCCCAGCTGCTGATGCCAAGGTCGGCCACTTTGAGATCCAGATGCTTCGTCAGCAGCAGGTTCAGCGGCTTCAGGTCCCGGTGCACGATCGGCACCTCCCGCGAGTGCAGGAAGGTCAAGGCCCGGGCCACCGTGCACGCCCAGGTGCACCTGCCGGGCGCAAGCCGACCCTTCAAAACTGCTTCTCAACCTCACTGCTTCACATGGCGAGAGCAGTTCTTCGTCTTTGTCTAAACACTTCCTAAGCTGCAAATCTTGGGTACAAATGTTTTGTGAGCCGCAAACAATATAATAATAATAATAATAATAATAATAATAATAATAATAATAATAATAATAATAATAATAATAATAATAATAATCTAAAAAAATAAAATAAAAAAACGCGCCCCCCAAGGGCCTCTGCCGAAGGCTCGGGCGCCAGAGAGCGTTGGTCTTCTGGCGCTGGGCCATGTAGTAGCGCTCCAGGTCGCCTCCTCAGGGCTGAAGCAGTCAGCAGGTAAAACAGGGATCCTTACAATAGATCCACCTGAACATTGCCTTGTAATTGGTGGTCTGTTTCAATTGGTTACAAAATGTATCTTTTAAGGAGCCCTGTAAAATGGGCCTGGTCGAATTGTTTGACTCCCCAGACCCATTTCTTCTTGGGGAAAAAAAAGGAAAGATGAGCTAGCCATGGAACGTCAGTTGTCTTGGGTCGGTTTCCGCGCCTGGCAGAAACTCCGTGACCAGCATGAAGGGCCTGCTCTCGCTCAAGCAGGCCCCAAGGAAGGTGACGAAGTCGGGGTGCCGCAGGGACGAGAGAAGGTCCACCTCATGAAGCCTGGGTATGCGATTCTCCGGTGTCCCTATGAAACGGCAACCCAAGGGAACCGGTCATCTCGAGGGCGTAACCCAAGGCAAGGTGTAAGGATTGATTCATGTTGACCAACCCACTTTGTTAAGATTCCCCACTAAATCCAGGGACACCCCCCCCCAGCCATTAAGACACTGGGGTTGATGAATAGGGGGTCAGCATTACTAGGTGTTCGAATAGAGAGGTTAGAATCAGGGTACCCTGTTTTCTGTATTTTTGTAGGGGAACCCTCCCCCAAAAAGGGGGTGAGAAGGGCAATACTGGGGACCCAGACTACCATACATTACCTTTGAACAGTTCAGGCGGCAGCTCTTTGCTGATCACATCATCCGAGATGGAGAGCGGCGAGCCCGGGTGCTGGATCATCCTCGCGACCTCGTGCTCGCTTTGCAAGCCTGCAACCTTCACCACCACCTCCACTCCCTTCCAGCGACCCTTCAGCAAGGTGCTCTTCAGGGTTTGGCTCAGCATACTCGACAGCTGCAGCTCTTCATGATCAAGGCGCCACCTGAGATCTGCAGCGATCTTGGAGAGCCTGCGCCTCTTATCCCCCAGAGACTCCGAGGATCTGGGATTTTCTCCGAAGTCGCCGTCAAAGGAGGACAGCGAAAGCGCGTTGATCGATAGCGTGTTGGTCACAGTGGCCTCTTGAGGGATGCCGAGCTCATCATGCTTCGAGAGCTCTGTGTGGGTCAATCCAATCTGATTGACAAGTGGGATCCTGCCAATCTCCTGCTTCGCTGTCTCTATGTGCTCGGGCTCCTCGCACACGTTAACTTGGCAGCAGTACGCCATCCCTCTCGCTGGCTGCGGCAGATTCTGCCTACTGGTGCCTACTGCCCGAGCTACGAAGCTATGAGCCATCAACAGTGAAGCCTCATGCCGACCTCACAAAGCCAAAATCCCCCTGCAAACTCCTTTGGCGCTTGCCTGCCGTGCTTAGTTGACGCATCGAAGCCCTGACCATGGCAGTAGTTTCCCAGCCTCCGCATCGGCCGCAGGCGCGGCAGCGGGCGCGGCCGCGGGGCCGGCCGCGGGCGCGGTCGCGGGCGCCCGAGTCTCCGCTTTCAGCTCCAAGGGCTCTCCTGGCCACGGAAAGCAAGTGCTTCTCATTTTAGGCCCATTGAAAAGCCGGTCCGATTTTGTCACATCGCAAAAGCAACTCCACAGAGCGCCCACCCCTTGCAAGAAGGCACGAGAATTGCCTAAGGAAGGAACCCGCAACATGTTCCGAATCAGAAGGCTTCCCAGTCGCCTAACCCAAACAACAAACACATGCATTATATACATACACATATTATATATATATATGTGTGTGTGTATGTACATAAATAAATATATATATATACACATTTGTTTGCAATTGCTGTACGATCTAAGGCAGAGGGTCCTGGCGCCTCTTGCAAGGTGGCCACTTCACACACGGCTCTATAGCCCGAAGATGAAGACCAACGTCACCCTCGGACACTCCCAAAGCACTAGCGATTGCCTTTCCAGGGTGAACGCGCAACATGGGAGCGTTGGTTTGCTTCCTTGACGTCAATGCGCATCGGGCCTGCCACATATGCACCATGCGCCATGTGCGCCCCACAGCCCATGGCATGTCCGCTGGGAGCTCCTGTGGTTCAAGCGTCTTGGCATGCAAGGCCGCTAACTATTGTGCATCTTGTACATCGTCTGCTGCGTGTGTTTCATGTGTTCTGTATGCTTCGTGTGTTTCATGCATGTTGCGTGACTCATCAAAAATATGTTGCAGTGTGTGTGCTGCCTCCATGCCTGCGCTTGAATGACTTCAGTGTGCCATTTGCTTTCTTGTGCTGCATAACAAGGCCCAGCAGACTTCCACTTTCAATACGGCCAGCCAAGTTGAGGTGCAGAAATCGCAGCGCTGTTCTGCTGACGAGTCTGCGGGAAGAAACCACCTTGCCAAGCGGAAAGCCAGGCAATGGAAGTTTGAGCCGTCTGTGTTGCTCCAGCCTTATACTACGCCATATCCCTTGGAAACCCGTCTTGACCAAACCATTCACCATGCACTTGCCATGGCCGCCTCTGGCACATTGACCTCGTTGACTTCATTCACCTCCGCATCCTCAACCTCCTCCAGCGCTAGGTCTTCCGAAGGCTCCTGCGGGCTGGTGAAGATATCTTTTGGAGCGCGCAAGAATTCAGCAGTGATCTTGGCAGAAAAATCAACGAATGCCGGGAGATTGGACGATAAATCTGGGAGCAGTCGAACCCCCACCCCCCCAGAAGTTGATCAAGGGCAACATTGTGGAGCCATGCGCAAAGCCTGTTGGCAGCATTGGGGGTCCCAGTCCGTGACCTACCTCTGGCCCACACTGCTTGTTGCTGCTTGCCCAAACCAACGCAAACAAAGCACCAAAACTGGCCATGGATGCGCAAGTGGATCAAGCAACTTAGAGGAAGATTGGGCACAAACCCCATCCCCACCAGGATGTTTCATGCACACGCACGAAACCCATAGCCTGCAGAACAGCCCTGCGAGCCACCCTTTTGCCGTTCAGCGCGCTCTCGCTTTTCGAGCTCGCGCCCCCAGCAGCGCTCAGACACCCAGTCTGTGCGAGTTGGTATGCGCAGGTTGCTCAATGCAAGTTGCTCTGCGCCAGTTCAGCTGCTCTGCGCAAGTTGCTCTACGCAAGCTCTGCCCGGGTGTCAACGCAAGCTGCATTGCGCGGGTTGGTCTGCGCAAGTTGCTCAAAGCTAGTTGCTCGGGCAAGTTGCTCTACGCAAGCTGCCTCTCTGTGCAAGTTGCTCTGCGCAAGTTGCTCTACGCAAGTTGCGCCGCGCAAGTTCCATCTGCAAGTTTTTTGCACGCGCGTTGCTCAAAGCGACGCGCTCTTTTTGCGCGCACAAGTTGCGATTTTACAGCTGGAGCTGCAGGAGCGTATTTCGCGCTTCGTACTTTCCAGCTCGAGCTGCGGGAGCGTTTTTCGCTGCTACTTTCGAATTGAAGTGTTGCGATTTTTGTTGCGAAGCCTGATAAGGGGGGAATCAAACCAGGACCCGAGAAAAAGCGCGCAAGCCGCGAGACAACTTCCAAACTCATCCGCGGGCGTCATTCTTGCGCATCGACCACGCCAATCCCCGCAGAGGGCCGCGCGCGCGCCGCAAAGAGCATAACAAGCCCGCTTACGCACATCATCCGCACTGATCCTCCAGAGGGCTGCGGGCGGCCCGCGAAGTCGAACAAGTCAGCTTTTGCACACCGATGTGGCGGATCCGAAAGTCCTCAATGATTGCACGTCGAATCCCTGCAGAGGGTTGCAATGCTGCGCGGTGATAAAACGTTTTCCTGGCGGCCGAGAAAGCTAGCCGAGCTTGCTTGCTAACGCCAAGGCGCTACGCAAGCCTCTCGCACAAGCTCCGGCCCCTAGCCACCCAACCCTCCGACCCAGAGCAACTTGCAGGCAAAAACTTGCGCAAAGCAACTTGCACAGGCTCTATACCTCTTTGGGAAGGTTGCTCCGTGAAAGTTGCTCTGTGAAAGTTGCTCTGCGCGCAGGCTGCGCTGTGCACTGTGCGGGCTGTTCTGCTCAACTCTTCGCGATGCTTTCGGGCAAAACCTTCCTGAGGCTCCAGTTGCCGCCGTGGCCGAGGCATCCTGGCGCACAACATGCAGACTTGGCTCAGGCTGGGGTTTTGAAGCTCATCCTTCATAACCTTTATAATAGGCTTCAAGCATCTGCCACGAATCTGAAGGCCTAGAACACAAGACTCTTCTCACATTTGTTCGTGCGAGACTGCTCTTTGAGCCCCCCATGGCTTCGAGGTTGTTTAACCTCAGCGAGCCTCAGCTTGCAAGAGCTGGCCCATTGGGCATGCTCGCGGCGCAGCTCCCTGCTTGTGTGTATACTGCTTTTTGACGAGTCTGGAGATTCTCTTCCTTCATCGGTGCGGCCAGAAAACCGTAAAAGCTCATGATCCAGGCTCCTGGCGCCTCTGAGCACTAAAGCTTCATAACGCACACCAGTCCTGCCACATGTCCACAAAACAAAGAAAACGCACAGGCGCCGGCCAGATTCCACGCGCCCAATTCTTTTGGCATCTGGCAAGACAACCGAGTGGTGGAACGACTCAGCTTGCGGATCAGGCCCTCTTGCCGTGAGCCCGGGATACCTGGCCATGGCATGGCCGTGCGCCAAGCAACTTAAGGCTCCGGAATGCATCACTGGCCAGCCAAGTTCCAGGGAACCCAGAAAAGTTATTGCTTTGGCGCGCAAAAAATGACTAGGGGTTAGTCTACCACAGATTGGGCACCATTCACAACCCATGAAATATGCGCAAAAAAAAGTCACTGGCAAACCATATTTCGTTCGCCCTGCCACCTTGGGTTGTGCCCACTCATGCATGTGCATGGTCACAGCGAGCGCTTGAAATCTTGGGTGACGCCGATCTGAAATTGCGCACATCAAAACACGCACTGGGCAGTTGCGCCTTCACACGCCCAGGCATTCCGTCTGTATCTCTTTCACAACAGCCAGAGCCGCAAAGCTCGAGGGACCCATGCAAAATCAGCCAAGCCACTAGGCTAAGTCTCCGTCTTGCAAACTGTGCGGGGTCAGGGACAAATACTCTTGCCAGAGTGTACCACATGGCCAGGTTCGACAACAAAATGTCAAAACTGGGCGAAGCTGCGAGCACTGCGCATTTGGGCCCCCCGGCGAGCCACAAGCCCGCGACCACCGGCACGCCGCCCAGCATGTTCCACTGAGGTGGCCTCGAGCCCATGATTGGCCGGAAGGATGTGATCCCAGTCAAGGCTAAGCCAGGCCTGCAACCACCCCATTCAAGAGCATCAGGTGCGGAGTCCAGGATCGCTTTTCAACATGGGGTGGTTGCAGGCCTGGCTTTGTGGAAGGATGCTCTTGAATGAACCTTGGGCCTGATGGCCCAAAGGCCGACAGAGCGGTGGGTCTGTCAGGTTGTTTGGTTCGCTTTAAGCACCTAGATCAATTTGACGCACCCGCAAGCAAGAGAACTTTCATGCGAAGCCAAAGGAGCAGGAATGAAAGAGGATCATTTGAGCTGAAATAAGGCACATGCGCTTCCTCGACAGGCCCATGCCTCCTAAGGGGCATGCAACAGCCCACGCCTCCAAATCCCACGCCAGAACACGCCCGCCCTTGGCTAAGGATCTGACACCAGGGTGTCGCGCAAGCTGGGGACCACCTCCGCATATCAGCATAGCTTCAGCCTCTATGATAACTTCTGGTTTGGTGCGGATTGGTTTCGGTTGCCATGGAAACCGAAACCATTCGTTTAGGCGGTTCGGCTTCGGCTGTGAGGTTTGCAGAGTTGTCGGTTCGATTTGGGGTTCTGTTCGGTTCTGGCGTATTTCCAGGCCCTGTTTGATAGCGGGCTTAGGACGATCTAGGTTTCGGCTGGTGCTCTAATGCATGTGTTCGGTGTTCGGTCAGTACACTTGCGGCATTGCGAACCAACGTGTCTCACAATAATGTGAATATCAAATCCCTACAAGGCATGCGGAGAGCCACATGCTTTTAGACGCCTTGACGAAAAGCACTTTGGCAACAGCTGTTCCGCTTTTTTCTGGGTGTGCGCTTTGCTGTCTGGACATGCTTTGAAGACCATTCCGACAGACCACTGTGAACCTTGCGCAAGACCTTCCTGCTCAAAAGGCTGAAGTCAGCAGTCAGAAGGCAACAGTTCACGATTGGCTTCGGTTCCGGGCAGATGCGACTTGAATGCGGCAACCGCAGTCCGGTTTCAACGCGAACCTTCGCATTGAGCTTCGGTGCACTTCCAGCTCGGTTCCGGCTCGGTTTTTTAATGAATTGCAGGTCAACAACAACCGTGCCCATGAGACGAAAAACACTTCTTGCTCGCACACCTTTCTCCCTTGGGATGACAAATCTGCCTTAGGCAAGCAAACCGAGGCTCGCAGGCATGAATGGTCACATCCCAGCCGCGAATCTCACCTTGCCTCATGTGCTGACTGCAGCTGTTCACAAGTCGCTCGTGGAAAAGAACGCCTCCCTATCTTAAAGTCTTAGGAAGCTTCCGAATCCATATGCAAAGGCCAGGGGCTAGCTCTCAAATGATCTTTAGCCAACTTTTTTTTAAAGTAGACTGTGTTCGGAGTACGTTGTCTCAATGCTGATTCATGCCGAACGTAGGTGGCCGACGACAATGGCCCAGCATCCCGCACCGGGATATCTCTCCCCCCTTTGATGAGAGGCGCCAGGCGCAGGAGCCAGGACAAGGAAGCGCTGGCCACAGGTTGCAACACCTGAGCTGCTTACTGCACCTTGCAAGGCAATGCTTGATCAAAGGGTGGGCATCGCAGCTTAGAGGGAATCCTTCACTTTTTGCAGAAGCATCCCTCCTCTGATCTGATTCGAGTTGCAAGGCTGCCAAGGGTTGAATGAGGGTTACTAACCACTTTGGCTGCCCTCTCCTGGCCAACAAAGGAACGGAGCCTTCTCTCGAGATGTTCAGCACTTGTGCAAACATATTCCGCTCTAGCTTTTGGGAAATGCGATCCAAACGCCAAAACGCGACCATGACGGGGTGGTCCAAGCCCATGTCCAGCATGATAACCAAGATTCACTAAGATTGGGCCAATGCAAACCAATACCATCCTGCATCGAGGCTCCCACACTAAACCTGTAAACACAAAAATGAATTGCAAATCAAAAGACCAACGCACGTCCAAGCACTTGCATTGCAATGTCATCTTTGCTCGGACCAAGTTTTTCCAGAGATGTCCTTGTGTCGCGTTTGCTGCGCTGCCTTGTTTCGCTTTCACTCGCAGTCGTGACATTGCACTTCGGTAGGCTTCTCAGTGCGAACGAGTACAGGTGCAGTGCTTGGAGGCATCTGACCATTGCTTAACATTTCTTCGGGCAACGCAGTATTCGTCCGGCATTCGCTTAGTAAATCTGCTCAAACCAGTCTTGCAGCGGCCCACCCCTATAGCAAGCATACAACAAGGATGTGTGCCATTGCCAAAGCATGCATGTGATTGATCCCCATATGGTGTTTATCTGCATCTCTGTATGTGGCCGTGCGTGTGTTCAAACCAGGTGGCCTTTCTGAATGACTTGGCAGGAAGCCAAACTTGACCATTGCCATGCATCCAACCAGCCTCACCGCAGTCAGGCGTACATGGGGCCAGTCGCTAAAGGATAAGCTCGTTCCCAAATCCCGACTTAGAGCCAGGCCGGGAACATGGCCATGAGAGAAGCCTCTGCGTGCTTGGCGGCCCAGGCCATGAGGCTCTGGCCTCAGGCATTCCAAACCCACGCCTCTTTTTGTTTTTTGATGTAGAGAGCTCACGTTTGGAAGCTGAAGCACACGACCAGAAGTGGTGCCCTACGGAAATGCTCCTGAATTGGGTGGTTGTTGCGAGTTCCGGCCATATATGATGGTGCCTTGAATTGAAGCATAGACGTTGCCACCGCCATTGCGGCCCATTCGCCGCAGCATGCGACCTTTCAACATGCAAGTGGGCAGTCCACCGCTCGCTCTATGCTTCACTTCGGCCGCGGAAACAAAGGTCCGCTGGCACGGCTCGTCCCCCTTATCGGCACGGAAAAGACGTTTTGCCGCCCGGCCTTGCAACAAGCAGCGCTCTTCTGAAGATGGGGCTTTGGGAGCTCTTGCCAGGGTCTTTTTTCAGCTTCCCTTGCCCAGCAAGCCGAACCGTAAGAAAAGTCAAAGATGTGAACCCTTTCTGTGAGCCACTGGTGGGTTCCGAACCCGGTGTACAAAACGGGGACGAAGGGTCACACTGAACAACGGTCCACTTAAGGCCGCGGCAAATCATCGTGGGCACTACCTCAGCTGGGTGGGGCCTTTCGAGCCCTCGAAACTCAAAGGCTCAAAGCAACCTTGAGCCCCACGTTCAGCCAGAGAAGTCGGCGGTTTCCTTTGAGCCCCCAATTACCCCAAAGGTCAAAAAGGCGAAATTGCATGCGATTTCATGAGGGCGGGCCGGCGTACATCTTGCCATTTGAAATGCTCACCCAGGCCGCTGAGTGCGGAATGCCCTGGACCACGGCCCCTTCGCGCACACCACCCCCCCCTCCCCCCCCGCCCAGCCACAAACAAAGTTAGGAACCAGGTCACCAGGCCTCCGGGCGGTGTAAAATGCCAATGCCTGGGCTGAGTTCAGATTCCCTAGAAGAAGTGATTAAATCTCCATGCTGGCGCTGGCTGGGGCAACTTCTGTGTCGGACCTGGATGATGCACGTCACCCTCCGCTTGTCCCCACGTGCCAGAGAACATGCAGGCAGCTTCGCTGCGCATGGGGCAAGGCGGCCACTGGCCGTCGGGGATTTAAGAACATGCGGAGAGCCATGCTGGGCATGCCTGGCATGGACCCAGGAGCATGTCTCCCACATGCATTTAACAAAATCCTTTAAGGATTCACAGCGCCGTCCCAGCCTAACTAAAATCGGGCCCGGCTTGGCAGGCGCCGAAGCTCACACATGGCTCAGCGACCGAATCGACGATTGGCAAGGCTAATCTCCTTGGCAGGGCCGCGGCACGCAACCTTCCAGCCGCTAACCCTCTGCCATTCGCTGCTGAGCCCAAAAGCCTGACTTGAATGAAGCATTGAGAATTTGAATGGTCAATCGAATGGGTTGATTTACATGTCGACACGTGCCGTCTTGGATGTTGAAGTACGGCAACACTCATTGGAAAGGGGGGAGTCCGACCACCTCCTACTCGGCGGACGAGAGAACAAGGGAGGTTGCTCCTGACCAATGCGATACCTGAACTTTCCTAGACCTCTGGTGAAATTGTTGAAGAGGCTCCTGATTCTGTAAAGGCAACTCCCTCAACATGGACACTGCTTATTTGATTACCTTGCGTGAACGCCAAGGGAGTGACCATGCGCAAAACTGACAGAGGTTGGCTGGTGACAATCATCAACTGAAAAAAATCCTGCCTCACATAGCGGCCGTGCGCAAAAAAGTGTCACAGCGCCCCCGATGAACGAGAACGTCGGCCAAGCTCACCTGACAAAGACTTGGTGGCTTGATCTCATTCATTTGGGGAGACTTTGCCGCAAACGCATCCAGTTGAATACTGTGGCTGGACGAAATCCTGCACCACTTTGCAACCATGGCAAACCATTGTTCGTTGGTATTTACTGGGCAATCATTCTCCCAGGGTTCTTAGCTGCGAAATGGATTTCGTCCAACCATCCACCGTATGTCCCTTTGCCGTGCGCCCAAAAATCTGCTCCATTGTTCTCAGGCCCAAAGGACCTGGGACCAAAATGTTGATCACCTTTTGGGGTGACTAAATTGGGAAAAATCAAGATTTGAACCAAAATGGGAATTTGGACCAGAATGATTTCCCATGACTAAATATGGACCAAAATGGGAAAACCAAAAGGTCAGATCCGGTCGATTCGCTTTTGAACAACTGAGTATTGCCTTCCCCGCCTCCGGGGTACAGCAACTTCTTGGTTTTGCCGCCCACCATGGACCTCATCCTCTTGAGGTAGGCATCCTTCCGGCTGAGGAAGCTCAAGCCTTCAAGCCCTGTCCAACCCCAAGATTGCCAGGAGACCTGCTCCAAGAGCCCCACAGGCATCTTGGACAAATCAGCGGCTGATGGGCTGTTTTCGCAGGTACTTTGGGCAAAAACATCTTCATGGTGGGTTGTCCACTCTGCTTCCCCCCGCTCTCCCGGCAAAGTCTCGAAGGGCTGGGGTGTCTTAAAACGACCTCCTGGGACATGTCCTCGCGCTGTGTAGCTACTTCAGCCATGACAAACCTCAAGATGCAACATGATTGCCCAAAAAGATGCCAGGTGCTGGTCCCTTCGAGCTGGCGCGCTCAAGGCTTCCCTTCTCTTTTCTGTTCTGTTGTTTTTTTTTGGGGTGGGTGCTGGTGGGGGAAGGATTGGAGGAGGTCCGCGAAGTCGCTTTGCTTCTTTGGGTGGCTGCGCGAAGGTTGCCAGTCCATGCTCTGCGATGTGCAGGTGCATCAAACTGACGGCCTGCTAGGCGGGTTAGGATCTTTATCTCCAACATAGGTGCGACAGTCATGAAATGGAGGGTATTACCACTTCTTTTAAATGAATTGGGCGGCATTTTGACACTTCTTTTACATGAAATGGGGGTTGGCACTATTGCCAATGGAAAGGGGTGTCCACGGTGTACCCGCGCGTGCCCAGATTTCGACCCCAGGCCACGTGCTTCACGCCACGTCCTCCTCGTCCCGGAGCCGCTTCTCGTCGAAGCGCTGCTTCAGATCCCCGGTGAAGACGTCGTACTCTTTGGTGTACATGGCGAAGGAGTGCTCCCTCAAAGCGGGTTCCGTCGCACCCCCATGGGGGGGAGGGCTTGCCCAATTCCATCTACCTGGCCTGGCCCAAAAAAGAGGAAAGGGACCAGAAATGGACTTGCAGCGGAAAAGGTGACCCTCCCCCCAATTCCATGTTTAAGGGGTGGGATCCTCCTACAATGGTTGGGTTCCATTCAGGTTTCTCACCCAAAAATAAAATGTTGACGTGGTAAAGCTGCAAAGGCACGCGTGGGTTGTCCAACCACGAGGGTGTTGTCTGTGAAAGCTTTTGGGAGTTGTTTCCCTTGGCTGTTTGAGGCATCCCCAAAGGGCAATGTCCAGGACAGGGTATCTGTGGGTACCTGTGAAAGTGACTCTCCAATGTGCCGCGGCCACTTCACGTCTTGAAGCGGGTAAGCCTGCCCAGCAAATGAGGCGGCTGCGTGATTTCGGCTCCGGATGGTTCAAAATAACACGGATTTATCCAGAAATGTGCCTAATGAGGGTTAATACCCAGTGAGTGTATTCCCAGGGTGCAATTTAAAAAATAAAAATAAACATGTGGGGCCCTTTCAACGTCAGCCCTTTGACTCCATCCCAGCCGCTGGCTGGCTTTCAATGCGACGTCCAGGCGATTGTAAACCACCTGCAGCAGGGGAGCATGTGCCGTTCAGCGGATTCCATGCTAGGCACATGCGAGAGATGAATTCGTCAGCGGACAAGCCCAAGCCCAGGTTGAGACACACTAAAAAACAACTCCGTGCTGCCAGCAACGTCAAGGAACTAAGCCAGATCAGCCCAGTATCAAAAACGAAGGTCAAAGGCCACGGTCCCTCCCAAGGACGTCCCTTTTTGACTGAGCCCTTTGATACCCCGTAGTCGATGAGGCCAATGCCAAGACCCGTAGCCGGAGTCCATGTTCAGGCATGGGAACTCGCCAGGTGACAAACCGAAGACCCAGAATACAGTATGCACTTCTCTGATGAAAATACTGCAGGCCGAGGATTCCCTTAGAACGGACATCTGATCAAGACATAGTTCAGGAGCCTGACAAGGGGGAAGCTCTGGGCCCCCAAAAAACGGGAAAATGGTCCCGGCGAACAGCTCAAGATCCAGGATTCGGAGAAACCGCGGAAAGTACTGGACCACGCTCAGGATCCAGGATGCATTCAGAGAAATGCGAATCCAACGGTTAAAAGCCAGGGCCTGGAAGCTGCACCTTGCTTTTGTTTGACCATGCAGCACACATGTGTTCTTCTCTAAACCGCCCATGTTGGCTTAAATAACACAATGACAACAACTCAGCCGCTGTCCCACATTCAGGAAGCCAGCTTTCACAGTGACCTGATGGAAGGGAGGGTAGAAGGTTGGCGTCTGTCACAGGAAAAACAAACACTTTTATGGGTCTTTATCGCGTTTGGGCTTGGATGAGAAGCCCAAAAGGCTTGAGACCAATGCTATCTTGCTCTCCTGTTTGTCTTTTGATATGGCAGATTCCTACAAGCTTTGCACTAAACAAGGGAAGCCCTGCGATGTATCATGGAGTTGGCTTGATAAACCTGCAATACCTACAAAATCAGCCGGATCCGCTTTGTGCTCAACAACCACGCTGCTTCCGCCTGGCCATTCTAGAGTCTAGAACACCACACTGGATTTCCGGGATCACAGTTGCCTGCTTCGCTTTTGGCAGCGCCGCTGGTAGCAAGCAATCGACAACTCAATACCAAACACAATCTGGCTATGGAGCAAACTGTACTCAAGCAAATCGCCTTCTCCTAGTAGCAGGGGCGCCCAGCAAGCACTGCGCAACTGCCTCATGGCCCCGAACAGCAGCAATAAGCCATGGTGTGGCACCATCGTTGTCAGCCCCGGCATCCAGCAAGCACTGCACGACTGCCTGATGGCCCTGGTCTGCAGCGAGATGCAACGGTGTGGCACCATCGTTGTCTGCCTTCTCTTTGTCAGCTCCAGCATCCAACAAGCACTGCGCAACACCCTGATGACCATCACGTGCAGCAAAAATGCAACGGTGCGGCGCCATCATTGTCTGCCTTGTCTTTGTCAGCCCCGGCATCCAACAAGCACTGCGCAGCTGCCTGATGACCATCACGTGCAGCAAAATGCAACGGTGTGAACCCATCATTGTCTGCCCTCTCGTTGTCAGCACCGGCATGTAGCAAACACTGCACGACTGCCTGATGGCCATGACCTGCAGCAAGATGCAATGCTGTCAAGCTGTCGTTGATCGCCTTGTCTTTGTCAACACCGGCATCCAGCAATGTGCAACGGTGTGGCGCCCTCATTCGTCGGCTTCTCTTTGTCAGCGCCGGCGTCCAGCAAACACTGCACAACCGCCTTGATGGCCCTGATCTGCAGCAAGATGCAATGGCGTCGCGCCATCACTGTCTGCCTTTTCTTTGTCAGCACCGGCATCCAGCAAGCACGGCGCAACTGCCTGGTGGCCCCGCACTGCAGCAATAAGCAATGGCGTGGTGCCTTGCCTGTCTGCCTTCTCCTTGTCAGCACTGGCATCCAGCAAGCGCTGCACAACTTCCAAATGGCCGTTTGCGGAAGCATTAAACAAAGGTGTCACATGACTGTTTCTGTCAGCAGCGTTGGGATCATGAGGCTTCTCCAACAGCACAATCACATGTTTTGCGTCGCCTCTTCCTGCCGCTTGCAGCAAGTCGATGCATGTTGCTTCGCCTGTCGCTGCTTCAACACATTGGCGTTTAGTGGCCGTCAAGCACTCAGCATTCTCCCACGTACACTCTGGGCCCAACATGCCTCGGTCGCCAGCCAAAGCGAGCTGCCTATCCTTACTTGGTCAGTTGCCACTGGAAGAAAGGAAGGCATGTTTGAATAAACAATCAAAAACAGGAAACCTAGATACCAATGGGCAATTGAGAATGTCTTGGCCAGGTGGCAAGGTGGCGTCGCAACGTGTTGAAAAAGGCAATCCCCATCTTCCTGTCCGCGCAACTCCTCCCGCCACAGAAAATACTCTGCCGTCGTCATCACATCCGTGCCATCCAGCAAGCGAATGCACGCCATGAGTGAATTGGGCACGTCTGCGCTCGAGCTGAATGCGTCTCATTCATTGCATGTAAGTCAGCATGCTGACAATCGCTGCACCATGGGCGCCTTTCGGAGCAAACGCGCACAGGAAGCAAGTAGGCATCATTCAAGCTGAAGGCTTTCTTATCTTCAAACATCACCGCGCAGAACAATTCAATTATTGCTTGGCCTTTCCAAAAAATAAATGATGGCTCAGCCACCCCAAATTAAACAAGCATTTGCTCGAAATCTCAACAAATTGTCTGGATGCCTCTTGATGTTTTTGGGAGAATGGCAACATCTGCTGCTCATGTCAATATCCGGCGAGATAAGGGTTCAGACTGAATGTGTGTGTTTCACAGTTCTTTTTAGAGGAGCGTCTACTCTAGATTCCCATCCCAGTGCGTCCACATACAACAATACCCAAAGAACACCCAAAGAAGATTATATATTCACGGTTCCGGAATCATCCGCAAGTTTGCACTCATCAGGAGCCGCCTGAAAATGCGACCCTGCTTCACCACTTTCAAAGAAGCCACGTTCGGTTTTTCGGGGATACTCCCAGCCTCCCAGCCTGGAGCAAATCTTCCGTTGCCTTTCCAACAGGCGATATCCGAGCAAAGAGACCGGCTGAAGACTCAGTGTCTAGGAACTGCAGTGATGTGGCCATGGGTCAAAAGCCAAAATTCCGTACCCCCAGTGAACATCCCAATCCAACCACCAAAAATTGGTTCTAAAATGAGTGGTGAATTCACCTACCAACCACAGCCATGCAGGCAGGCGGAGGGGGAGGGGGGGGGCGAACGTCGCTTCGACTCGACCGCCCTCCGTGGCGCCTTGCTGCTGAGATTCCAGGCCGGCTCCAGGGTCAGCGTCTCCCCTCCCCGCGCCAAAGTGCGGCTGGCAGCTCTCTCAGGCCGGTCCCCTGAGCCAGCAGGCGCTAGAAAGGAGAAGAAACGGCCATGGGCTTTTCAAAACCCCGGAAAGGCCCCCAGTGAACATCCCAATCCAACCACTAAAATAGACTAAAATGGGTGGTGGACCTATTGACCCGTAGCCAAATTGAAACAAGATGGAGCAACAACCACCGAGCTGAAGTGCGTATTGTGTCGGCCCGACTCCCGGAATTGAGGCGTTTTCGGCTTCAGAAGGCCTACCCGCAAAGGTCACTTGGTCCTGACTGCTTCACCAGGGGCGCACATGTTTCCATTTGCCAGGATTCCATTTTGGGTACCTACTTTGGACCCACAGCCAAATGGCAGGATACGGCAGGTACAAGACAATTTTGCTTTTAAAGGAACCCTCTCAGGTTCCACGGTCATTGGTGGGAGGGTAAATCAGCCATGCATTCCTTGGCATCTGTTTTCCCGGCGAGGTGTGCCTGTTAGTGCGCATCAAGTTCACCCACACTCCATCTTGAACCTCACCTTTAGATGCTTTAGGCCTCTTCCAAGCAACACGTTTGCAATACAACATACCAGATGCACATGCACACGCACACCCAGACCAACACACTCAAGTGCGCGCACACACACACACACACACACAAACAGACACACGCATATACGCATACATATACACATACATACATATACACATATATACACTCCTTTACACCACACCACATGGGGCCTTCTGTCAGGAGCGCCTTTGGTTAGATCAACACCTTGCCATGAGATGAGAGGTCCCTGGCTTATCTGGCCGCGCCTAAGCCTGACGTCGATGTAGCCCCAGGCTCCTTTGATGAGCCTGCCATGCCAAGGCTTGCAGGCAGCTACCATGATAGTAGCTAGGTTTTCTATAAACAGGGGGTTGCACTTGTTGACTACTCCAAGGTAGACTTACTTTCAATTTCTCTGTTGGTGGGGGTTTAAGCCTACCCTGGGACAGTCAAAAAGCAGAATCCTGCATATACAAACTGAGGGAAGCATCCGGTAGCCTACTACCATGGCAGGCCCAGAGCACACGCAGGAAAGAGCCCCTTTGGCCAGTAATCGTTCTAGACAGCCGGCAAACAATGGCCTGTGCCAGCGCGAACCACGCGGACAACACATGGGAAACATGGACACACCCACATTCATACGTGTACACGCCATATGGCTGTGGCTCAAAAAACCGGTACCAAAATGGCTTGCCCTGGTAAGTGGAAACATGGACCAAAACCCGCGGTTTGCCCCTAGCCACAGCCCCCAGCGCGAACCACGCGGACAACACACGGGAAACATGCGCACGCCCACATTCATACGTGTACACGCCACATGCGAAGCCTGGCCCGTCCAAAAAAAAAATCGCCATCGGCCTCGGCGCTTGGAGCCCATCATCTGCGGATTTGCGGGCGCCTAGCGAGAGCTGTGTCTCCCATGGAGACGGAACCCAGACCATGGACAGGGACCAAAAAAAAACGGCATGTGAGGGTTTGGGCCAAACATGCCGGCCAATCACTTTCCCTTCTTAGAAGTTAGAACCCCTATGGCTTTTAGCTATCTGGGGAGAAACAAAAACGCGGCATGCGAGGGTTTGGGCTTTCATTTTTCGAATCCCCGAACTCCCAACTCCCAAACATCGGTTGGGTGAAACCTGAGAAACTGGGGACAAGGGCCAAAAGAAAATGCACGCTGCCCACCCAAAGAGCTGTCCCTTTTGGACGAGGGAACCCCATGTTTGAGACCCAGGATTGTTGGTGAAACCAAAGGGACAGTCCAAAAGCTCCCCGTCGACGACTGAGAACAACCCAACTGCTCAAAGAGCGAGGCTTTGACGCCAAGGCCGAATTTGAAATCCCAGACCGCGCAAATTAGTTGGCAACCGTTCATCTCCGCTGGCTGCAATGTCCCAAAGAATCAGCTCAGGTTTCGGGGCAATCCAGCTGTGCGCCCAGAAGGACTGGGCCAGATGACGAGCGACATGTTCGGTCCATTGGGGGAGGAGCAGATCAGCCCGTTTGATACTGGCTCGGCACCAGGCAAGGGAATTCCCCTCAGCGAGGGCCATAGCCACCCGGTAAAACAAAACAAACCGTTGGATACTCTTTGTTTCAAGAGCGCCAGCTACTGGCAAAAGCGGGGGGTGATTGCCGCCACTCACATTCAGCTTCCCTCTAATTGGCAGTCTGGATTGGGTGGTTTGGTGGTTAAGGAGGGGGTTCCCATTTGATCCTCTATCCTAAACCACCAATCCAAACCTTGGACAAACGAACAAGCGGGGATACGGAGGGAGCGGGGATAATTATGGGGGGGATTTCCTTGGTGCCATTTCCCATATCAACCTTGGTCAAGGTGCATCAAACGGGGGGCATCCTCAACCGTTTCCCTGGCTCCCCCTGTATCTCTGCTATAGTTGGCTTCCCTGAAAACCCACCCATTGACTGCTACCTGACCCATGACAAGCCGCCATCTTCAGGGAGAACGCCGACGAGCGGGACATGCGCATCACGTCGCGGTCGTGGGCATCTGTGTAGAGGCTCTTCATCCCAGGGGACACCCAAGTCCTCGGGGAAGAGATGGCAAATGTTGACCCCATATTAATAAACCCCATATCTGTAAATGGAACTAAGTCTTCCAAAAGGGTCCTGGGGGGGGGTAATAAACCCCTGCTTCTGAGTGTGGGTGTGTTCCCCTCCAAAAGTGAGGACTTCTCACCAAACCCAGTTGGACCCCCCCCATGAATGAACTGGGTTTGCTTCATATGGGGTCTGCATTATGACTAATAAAAGAAGTGCACCCCACCCTGCCAACGCCAACTCCTCAGGTGGAAGAATGAAATGAAAAGCTCTGGAACTGCCAAGCTGGCTGGAAGTGATTGAATCCAGCGGTTCTTTTCATCCTAAATATCTATATATATATAGACATGTGATATGTGTTTATATTTGTTTTCGTTTAATCCCTCCTTTCTTGCTGGTGTGATAGGCAGGGGACAAGTTGGAATGATCCCTATAAACCATCCAACTGGTGGTTTCCTTTCAAGGGACCCCCTGGGTTCATTCCCACATTTCCGACTGGGCACCAGCAAGTTGTCCGCCTGGAAAAGACAAAAACTGCCCTGCAGACGAGTCCCTTGCTTGCCACATGGGGTCTCTTGACTCACGTGAACTGCCACAGGCTGATCCCCGAACCGCTCACCAGTTTGAGACCTCAAACAAGGACCCCAGGACGGCCTGGCTTCGTTGACGGAACGATACTCTAGGAATCTTCTCAACTACTGTCTTTGCTTCTGGAAAAAACACCCGGGCCCCAGTTACAAACTAGAACCAAACTAAGTAGTGCAATCCATCTAGTTTCAAGCAACTGAACCCAGAGTAGAGCTTGGTGGTACAGATCCCTCCCTGAGAATTACTTAACATCCCCCAATGTCAGAGAGCATTGCAAGATGTAGCTCTGCCCCAAGGACGTGGAAACATAAGCAAGGTGACCTGTGGATGGTTGCGAAATCCATTTTGCACCACCTCAGAGACCTTGGGATGATTCCCCTGTAAATACCAACCAAGAATGGTTTCCCATGGGTTCCAAGTGGTGCAGGATTTTGCCCATCCACAGTACCAACGGATCCGCAGAAAGATTGGGCCACACTCGGCCCAGGGGCGTGCTGAGTTGTGTGGAGCGCATCGCCTCCGGCAGAAGCTCGGTCTTCAGCTTCTGCCTCAGAGGCGGAGAAAATCACCCCTGCCATGACTCGGTTGTTTTCTGCTCCCCTGCTAAAAGTGGCTAACTTTTAGTGGTTTAATGGAATTAACTTTTAGTGTTTTAACTCTTAGTGTGTTTTTTGGTGCAAAAAGTTAAAGTCCTAACATCCAAGCAAATGAGCCAAAGACAAGGGGAGGGGGAGTTGGGGGTCTCCAAATTCCGTTGATTATGGGGAAGTGAACCGCAAGTGGAATTCCAGGGGTCACCCCCCTCCCCCAATTCCAGATTTAAAGGGGGTGGGGATGTCGCAGAGTAGCGCGTAGGAGTATGTCTAGCGGGCTACCATGTCCTCTTGGCTTTCGGTTTGCCGTTCCTTTACAAACAAACAGATAGCAAGAAGGGCACCTTGAAAAAGACGGAACCCTATTCTATAATCTTGTGCATACTAAACATCTTCCACCAGTGAATCGCAATGTTCGGCACTCCTCACACAGCGAATTGGAAAAACCCCTGCCGACACAGCCTTTCAGGGGCCACTTGCCCAGCCCGGGACTGTGTAGCCGCAGGCCACCCACCACCCTCCTTCCCCCCCAAAATATATATATACCAATATATATAATATATATATATATATATGCGTGTGTGTGTATGCATGTATGTAATGAAATGTAATGTAATGAAATGAAATGAAATGTAATGTAATGTAATGTAATGTAATGTATGTATGTATGTATGTAATGCATGTATGTAATGTAATGTAACGTAACGTAACGTAACGTAATGTAATGTAATGTAATGTAATGTAATGTACATAGTGCAATGTAATGTAATGTATGTGTGTATGTGTGTATGTGTGTATGTATGTATGTACGTATGTAGGTAGGTATGTATGTATGTATCTATGTGTGTGTGTGGGTAGGTAGGAAGGAAGGAAGGTAGGTAGGTAGGGTAGGTAGGTATGTAGGTATGTATGTATGTATGTATGTATGTATGTGTGCAATGTATGTGATGTATGTAATGTATGGTATGTAATGTATGTAATGTATGTAATTCATGTATTGGATGTAATGGATGTAATGGATATAATGTATGTAATGTATGTAATGTATGTACTGTATGTAATGTATGTATGTAATGTAATGAACTGCAATGCAACGCAATGCAATACAATGTGTTGTATTGTAATGTAATGTAATGTAATGTAATGTAATGTAATGTAATGTAATGTAATGTAATGTAACGTATGTATGTATGTATGTATGTATGTATGTATGTTGTGTTATGTTATGTTATGTTATGATGTTGTTGTATGTATGTATGTATGTATGTATGTATGTATGTATGTATGTAATGTAATGTAATGTAATGTAATGTAATGTAATGTAATGTAATGTAATGTAATGTAATGTAATGTAATGTAATGTAATGTAATGTAATGTAATGTAATGTAATGTAATGTAATGTAATGTAATGTAATGTAATGTAATGTATGTATGTAATGTATGTATGTAATGTATGTATGTATGTATGTATGTATGTATGTATGTATGTATGTATGTATGTATGTATGTATGTATGTATGTATGTATGCATGTATGTATGTATGTATGTGGTGTATTGTAGTGTAGTGTGGTGTAGTGTAGTGTGGTGTAATGTAACGTCATGTACTGTAATGTAATGTAATGTAACGTGACGTAACATAACGTGACTAACGTAATGTAATGCATGTGTGTATGTATAAAAAACAAAGTATTAAAAAATGAAAAATGTCAATGGGGCAAATGACTGAAGGCCGTACTCAAACATAAAACAAAATGCTCACTTGCAAAACCGCTAGCTTCCACCCACCGCAGGCCCTGCTTGCCGAAGCCCGAGCGGCTCCAATCTTTCCTGGCGTTGCCGCTTCAACCTACGCCGCGCTGCACCATCCTCCCAAACATGTCCCAAGAAACATCACCCCGAAGGAAGCTAAGCTTGAAATGGATGCCTGAAAAGAATGCGGAATGGCAGAGATTTGGGACGCATCCCTTCAGAAATTCAACCTTGTCCACTCTGCAACTTCTGCAGCCAGGCAACTTGGCTTCCTCCTCTCTCTTCTCGTTGGCCTTTTTCTGCCTCAGGCCCGGGCAAAAAGAGCACACGCTCTGTGTCCGAAAAAATGACATGACACCATCCCAATGCGCAGTCAAGCCGCATAGTTGTCAGGTGGCCGGCCATGCGCGCCCGCCGCACCCGCACAGCTTTCTTCCCCTCGGAGAACATGCCCACCATCTCGCTGTCCTCCCCCCTGGCGATGGTTTCAGCTCACGTGCGTTCCGGTACCCTCACCAACTCCCTTCTCCTCTGTGCTTGTGCAATATTGGCAGGGGTGGGGCTTAGAATAAATTACCATATACATATATATATATATATACACACAACACATTCAACAAATCACTCCATCTGCGGCTTCGTGTGAAAACGCGAGCTCTCTATCTCTCTCTCTCTCTCTCTCTCTGTCTCTCTCTATCTCTCTCTCTCTCTCTCTCTCTCTCTCTCTTCTATGCGGCAAAAGGAGTTCTTCCAAATGCCACTTGTCAACATCCAATGCCATGCTGGGTTCGCCACGAAAACAACAGCTGCTGAGTCGGGTTCAAGCCAAAACGTCGGGCCATTCAGTGTAGCTCAGTTGAACGCGCGCGCGGGACAAGCCGCGCTGGCCATGAGTTCTCGCCCAGTGTGGATCACGAGCAACATAAGTCTCGGCAACGATGCTGCCCGGCGACTGCGCACCCTCAAAATTCTGGAGCTTAGTCTTGCTTCTCAAGCGCTTGCAGCTGATCTGCATCTGGAAGCTGCAAATTGAACCGCTCCTCGGTACTTGTACACAACGCCCAGGCGCGCCCGGACGTATGCCACCGTTTCACATTTGGCGGTTCGGCAGCATCTGCCAAGCGCTCTGCTCCCCATCGCGAGGCCCAAGCAGCACGCGCACAAGAGCTCCCAAGTTTCATGCTGTTTCTCGCTGCCAGCTGGTCGTCATCAAAGCCTCCGACCCAAAGGTTGGCGCCGACACGCCGCTGCTTCTGCACCTGCCTTGGCCTGCAAGGGTCGGGCGGACCTTCAAGTTTATGACACGGCTTATCTTTGCGCTGGAAGCTGCGTTGCAGGAAAGCGCGGCCTGCGCCGCTGGAAGAACGCTGCCTTGGTGGCTTGCAAAGCTGGGGCTGGCAGCAGCTCAGCCAGCTCGATCGCGACAACAGAGTCAACTGTCGCAGCCTCGGGCCACTGCCGTGACCACAGCAGCCCGAGCCCTTGAATGCAGTCAGCTCGTTCTCCAAATTTGGGATGCCCTACGTTGAACCTTCATTGCACAGCACAACTCCTCCCACGTCTTCTTGACCCGTCAGCCTAGCAGTCGTGGCTGAGGGCTGATGATTAGCTCCAAGGATTGGAGCAGCTCTCGCGGGCCGCCCGGAGCCCGGAATCTTGACACACTGTGCCCACAGCGTCCATCTGAATGTTTCGTTGGCTGCCAAGGACCCCGGGGCTTGCCCAGAGAGCCTTTGACATAGGCGTCCTTTTTGGAAAAGTAGATGGCCCTGGTAGTTGATTGAGCCACCGCGTAAACCAGGGCCATCTATGTTTCAACCAAATCAACCCCCCCAAAAAAAAAGAAGACACCTATGGCCTTTGGATGCACTGGGGAACAACTCTATTGGCACCTCCCTCGCCACGATGGCCTTGACCACGTCGCCAAGACTTTTCTTTCTTTTCTTTTTTTGCGGTGGCACGCTGAGCGCCGGCAACCGCGCTGGCAGCCGCGCAGTGCCCCACGTCGCTTGCCAGGGCCACGGGCGGGGTGCCATGCATGACAGGGCAGGCATGCAGCCTGGAGGGAGCCTGAAACAAATCAGCTAAGCCATTTTGGAAAATGGCGGGCCATTCAGTGTAAGCTCAGTTGCACACCGTGCCCCAAGCAGCTTGCCTGCCCAAAGCACGACACCTCATAGCATTTACATTCAGATTAACATTACATCGCATTGGGCGCTCAGCCCATGTAGCTATGAATCTTTCTGGGGAAAAACCTCAGAACTGGCTGCTGGACATTGGAGTCCGACCAGCTCCCCAAGCAAAAAGCAAAATGTGTCGCAATGGCGATGGCGGTTGCAACCCTGCGGGTGGGCCTGACCCGGGACGAAGCCGACACAGGCGACACAGGCGACGTGGGCGACATGGGCGACATGGGCGACGTCGGCGACTCGTCGCCTTGGTGGCCACCACTCTTGTCCCATGGGCCCCCAGACCTGCCCCCCCCCCCACAAAGCACACTGGGCAAGGAGCCGAAGTCCTCATCCAACAACAAGTTCATGGACGATGCTCCTGGCGAAAGCGTCGCCGCGTGTCGGGCAAGCGCTTCGCGCTTCGATCTTTGTGGCCTGGCAGACTTCCGACATGGCGTGCGGCAAAAATGCGATTTGGGCAGCAAGTGACAGCATCCAATTTGGGCCCAGAAGCCCTGGTCCTCTTGACAGAGAAGGACCTGAAGTGGCAGCACCCAACATAGGAGCCATGCCTGCCCCGACTTGGCATCTCTCACCGCACACACACACGCACACACACCCAGAGCTGACAAGCGTCTCTCAACTACAGATGACTCGATGAGGTCAATGTCTAGCTCGGCTGCGGGATTCCTTACGTGAGCGTGGTGGCACAGCCAGTAGTGAGAGCCGTCAGCAGCCCACAATGCGTCAAAGAGTTCATGCCCAACGCTACTCTGCGCATTTTAAGGTTGGGGGGAGCGGGTGGTCCCCAATTCCACGTATTTATCATAATCTTCTGACAAAGGGAACATAGATGCAAATTCAGGAGCACATACCCCTTTTTCCCGGGTGGGGATCTCTTCGCAACCTCACTCTATGCCATTCATAGCGGCTCGAACTCCTCGACCTCCTCCTCTTCATTTCCGATCCTGGCCTGAGACTCCAGTGTCGCTTCCCAGGAGCCCCCCGACCACCCAACCGCTGGTAAGTTTGGAAGTCCAAGGCACCATCCCAGAGATGTGGTTGTCCAGCATCGCCATGCCCTGCGTACTCAGCTGCAGGTATCCTGAGAAAGGACGACACAGACGGACACAGAACACTTCTGACCAACGATCCCTTTCTGCCGCCAGGCATCGATCCACGCCTGGGCCGGGAAAACGAAACCGGATTGCGGACCGGGGAAAGGAGAGCTCCGGCACGAGGGAAAAAACCGCGCCGGGCAAAGCCCGAGGCCATGGGAAGCACTTACTTACCAAATAATTACAAGCGCGGGGAAGATGCCAGCCATTCTCAGCGAGCAAACAGAGATCAAATTGAGGAACCTTCAAAAGCAAGCGGTGGGTGCTCACGGGTACACCCGTTGCAGAATTGAGGCATCCTACGGCCTTCCTAGCGTACTCTCAGCACACGCCGCAACGTGCAACGCCCCGCGGCGAACTTTCGCTTGGAAAGTGGATCAACTTAATGGCGGTGTTCAATGCAAGCTGCCACTTTTATTGAAATGGCTATGAATCAAAAGCCAAATCGTACCCCCAGTGAACATCCCAATCCCCACTAATATAGGTCCTAAAATAAAATGGGTGGTGAATTCACCTACCAACCAAAATGGGATCCCAAAACGGTTTTGACCCAGAGGCAAATGGCTCGAAGAAATCTGATTCCTTCCCGCATTGCAGCAGAGCTGCTGAGATCCGGGGGCACCAGCTCCTTCTCCCTCTTGGGTGTGCCGGATGCCTGGTAGGCACAAAAAATACAGACAGACGGACGGACGGACAGACGGGCGGACAGCAAGAAAGAAAGAAAGAAAGAAAGAAAGAAAGAATCAAGCAAGCAAGCAAGCAAGCAAGCAAGGAAGGAAGGAAGGAAGCAAAGAAAGAAACGGTAAGTAGCCAGGGCCCAAGTTTTTGATTGGGGCAAGCCAAGGCGCCGCGGCCATCCAGTTCATCTTCCCGCTCTTCTCATCCGCGCGCCCCTGCAGCACGTGCTCCAGCTGTATCTCGTCCGGCCGGGGGGCGTCGAGGTGCCCAAACCTCGCTGGTGGCCATGTGGCCGGCCGGCGATGGCCGGCGATGGCCGGCGATGGCCGGCGATGGCCGGCGATGGCTAGGTGCCCGGACTGACGAGTCTGGGCGTTGGTCAAATGAACCGGGCGGAAGGGCAACCCCCCGAAGAAAGGAAACCATGAAAGTCAACGGGATGGTGTTGTTTTCCTCTTTTTTTTGGGGGGGGGGGGGTCATTCCATTTCTCATGGGCACCAGCAAGTATAATTTCCTGTTGGGGGAGTCTTGGACAAGAGTAGCCCATTGGTGTGCCTTCCCACCCTCCAATATCCGAAGCTGAAGGGGGCTCGTCCATAAATAGATGCCGTCGAACACTGGGATGGGTCCGCAAGAATAAAACCCCAATGTGGGTTATCCAGCCGGAAGCCGGACATTTTGAGCAGGATCGAATCGCTCTGGCGCCCTGATCCGCCAGAGCGCAAAGTGATCGCGACTGATTCTGCAGCTAAGATGTTTTTTGCATGGTTACAACTGCGTTCCGCCCACCAGTCACGCCCAGCCCGCCAAGATGCTTCAGAGGCCGTGTGTGCAGGTTCTGGCTTTCCAACTCCGCTTGCCTTGCGGAAAGCATGCCCACTTAGCTTTGGCTCTGAGAAAAAGGAAAAATATGTGCAGTTTCCTTGCCTTCCCTTTTAAAGCCAACCCAAAAGAGGGTGGAATAGAAAAATATCAGGCATTTAGGCGACCGGCACCTTCTGACTGAAATCACCCACTCGGCCTCTGCTGGCCCCGGAGGTAGTCCACCTGGTTCACGTGCGGATGTTGCAGCACCCTTTGGAGGAAGAGGCTGCGCCGCAGCTTCTTCGCAGTGTCCAGGTTGATCTGAAAGCCCAACCTGGGCGTTCAGAAGGAAGCGCCTCTGAACCCGCGGGCGTGGCGCTTCCGGCCCAGGCGGCGGTTTGTTTTTTTGTTTGTTTGCTTTTTTTTGTTTTTCTCCTTTTTTTTTTGCGCGCATGGAGCGCAGATCGTCAGTGTCTAGTAAGCAAGGGGCATTGACAAGAATTTCCAAACTGCTGGTACAGCCAAGAGGACATCTCGAACTGAATCACCAGCACGATTTGGTTCATGAAGTTGTCCGAATGGTTCAGGATGGAATTCCGATCCTCCGGGAAGCCGTCAAAGACCATGCGAAAGACCGCCTGACCGCCGGCTAAGGGCGTCTCTCCCGCTCTCTTTCTCTCACTCTCTCTCTCTCTCTCTCTCTCTCTCTCTCTCTCTCTCTCCCTCTCTCTGCAAAATGCTTATAGCAAACTGGACAGCACTAGCGATTCGAAGCAATTTGAAACCAGTGCCATCGAGGCTTGACCAAACTGAGCTCAAAACGAGCTTTGCACGGAGCATTTGGCAACAGGATCTGTTGGGTCAGCTCTCCTGACCCGAGCCCCGCTGAACTGCTGCCTGCGCAAATAGGAAGGGTAGGCACGACGTGACCCACTGCCGCGCCCGCTGGTCATGGTTCAGCAAAGGCCCCACCTGGCGTCTCGGACGCAACCCCGCACCCCACATCCACGCCCATAATGGGGCCTCTGGCTGTGAGGTGAATAAGTCAGTGCTTCGATAGCAACCATGTCCACTGGTTGCAGACGGGCAATCCAGCTCCTTCCTAGCTGAACTCACAATCAACTTGACACAGCCGCCGCGCGCGCCCTCTCACACGTACCGTATCTTATTGGAATTTCCTGTGGCCTTTCAAGGCTGACACCAGCCCGACCGCTCTTCCGGCCTCCAGCTGCAAGGTGTGCCAGGACCGACCCAGCGCAGTCCGGGAGGCTGTGGTGACCTGTGCCGAAATGCTCCCACTTCGTCACTTCGCGTCTGAGCATGACCTGCTTGCCTTTGAGTAACCCCCTTGGCCCTTGCCCTCATACGAGTCCCCCCACGCCGAGGCACCCCGCAGAGAGATGGAAAAGAGAGGAGCGGCCAGGTGTTCGGTGTTGCTGGGCCACTCAACAGGTTTCTTTTCAGACTTGCGTTGAACAGCCAGCCCACCTTTTCACCTTTTCTCTGGGCTGGCGCCAAACGAGCGTTTAGCATCCAGCCTGGTCGGGAACACACTGAAAAATGCCGCTGAGGACCAGCCAAAAGAGCGATGTCGCAGACCTCAGCGTGAGAATTCAACTGGGTCAACAGGTCCAAGCTTTTCGCTCAGGTCCGGGGATGTTTGTACGTACCCTGACGCCCGTACCCCTCTCCCGAAAAGGGATATCTACCCCTTACAAAGTGGACTCAAAACCAGGCAAGCCAAGGAACCGGTCTTTATCCGATGTTTATGTGCTTCCACCCTTGGACCACAGCCTGGAGCTGAGCCAGTGTTAGCGGAGAGCGCTCCCAAACGGCAAAAAGGGAAAGCCTTCCAATCACGAACCGCCACATTTGGGCCTCTGGACTGCTCAAACGAGTTGGCCCATCCCAATTCATAACCCCGATGGCGGGGGGTGGTGGGGGGGGGGGGGGCCAAATAAGCCTTAACAAGGCCAGGGCTCATAAAACCTTCACAGTTCACAAGGCCAGGGCTCAATGAGGGCTTCTTTAGCTCCCTATCAACCACCCCGTCTTCTTTGGCTCTTCTGGTCCGTATAGGTATGCGACAAAATAGGGATCAACCCTAAAGCCGCTGCAAAAGGTCGCCGCACATGTAGCACAAATCATCTCCAAACCGGCCAAAACCACCCAAAGTCAGGGTTAAACCCACCCCACAGCATCCTGAATATCATCCCTTTGCCGAGCCTAAATGAGCCCAAACAAGCCTTTGAACTTTGAACTGCCACCATATCAAAGCCAGCCTGGCCAACCAGGCCCCTGGAGAATACCGTGTGTTGCCCCCAACCTGGAAAGCTTCTGTGCCGAAACCGGATGTAGTTTTGATGCACATACGGTGGGCCTTGGAGCTGGCAAAAATCCGTGGCTTGTTCTTTTCGGTTTTTTGCAAACACCTGAACCGTATAAGAGTACTGGATCCAATGGGTATCCTCTGCATATACCCATTCTCATTCTACAAAAGACAAGGTACTTCCATTTGCTGAAGAATCTCTGTAATTTTAAGTGCTTGGTTTTAAGGTGAAATCTATCGCCACTGTTGCTTTGTGTTTTTGTGTTTGACCAAAAAGAAAAGAAGAAGAACACATCCAAGGTTAAGCAAATGGAAGGGCACAAGATGCATCAGCTCAGTTTCAAACCCCCAGCCCACGTGTGCCGTGGCGCATCACGCAGCTATCCCTCTGCACCACCCGCCGCAGGAGCTCCACCCGCGTCTCCAGATCCGAGGCCCTGGAGTCGAGCGCTCGACGGGGTGTCGTTGGGCGTGCCTTGCTCTCCTCTTGAAACCGGACAAAAATGGTCTCCCGCAAAAAAGACAAGCGCACAGGGAGATTTAGGTCTGGAACAAAAACGGTCTCCCGCAAAAAAGAAAAGCGAGGGAGACTTAGGTCTGACCAGTTTGAGGCAGCTCCCAATTCATAGCCAGAGGATATAGAAGGGCTCGGGGTGAACTGCTGATATCATGGTTTTGTCATTGCAAGCGTTGAATGAAACAGGGCAAACAGGCTGCCATTCATTACAGATCCAACTGCAGGCATCTTGCCAGAAAACAAAAAGACACTCCAAGCAACAACACGAAGCCTTGAACTCAAAGAGTGGCAGCAACTGCACGCCACACCTCTGCAGACAAGGCTCAATATGCTGCACGGGGACGTGGCGGCTGCCTCAGGGGTAGGCTCTGAGTCAGACATTTGAGGGCGTGTCAAAATGAGTTGACCAAACAAACAAGTGGGGATAGGGAGGGGATTCCCTTGTCGAATCCCCCCGTAAACTTTGTCAAGGTATGTCAAGGTGCATTTACGGGGAATCCTCCCGTATCCCTGGTTCCCCTGTATCCCTGCTAGTTGGTTTTCCTGAATGAGGGGTCCTTTTTGATATCCCCTTCAAAAGGCACAAGGCGGCACCATTTGTCTTTCTTTGCCTTGGTTGGTCTTGTGTCTGCCTTGCGTAGCTTTGCGTAGTCTTGCTTCGCTTGGCCTTGCCTACCCAGTGAATTACTTGCCTTGCCTTGCCTTCCTTCTGTGATTCCATGAAACCCTCACTTGGGTGTGGGTCAGAAAAACAGGGTAACCCAAAAATTGGTTGTTTAGTTTTAACCCATGCCCACTTGGCTGCAAAGGCGTGAAGAAACTCACAAAACTGCAAGCATGGCACAGTGCAAGTTGCCTCCCCCGCCTCCAATTTCCTCTTGGTGTCGCCGGGCCCGCCACGCAAACACAAGGTCGCCTCGTCCAAGTACGGGGGGAGCTCCTCAAGTGCCAAACCAATCTGCACCAAAAAATGCTCCGCGCCACACACAAAAGGGGCCTTTCAAGCTTGACGCATTGCTGTTGGTCCATGTTTGCCAGCCGTTGGACGAATGTCCATGTCCCGTGCTTCCAAGGTGCCCTCGAGACACTGTCCTTTTCACCCTCGGCGCATGGGAGGCTTAGACAAGCAGTGCTGACCACCACACAACGGCCAGCGATCCGAGACAGATTCAAAAGGCGGACAGTATGAACATGACCACCAAGCTGGATGGTAAGCACCCCAGAAAGGTCTAGGGTTGACTGACACCACTGGCCTCCAATTAGGGATACGCAAGCAACGGCCAACACATTGCAAGAGATGGATGCACGTCATCGCAGCGCCTCGAGCGACCCGCTGATCATTGCTGCCTGAGGCGCATGGAAACTCTTTCCAGCTATTTGAGATGGTCAAACTGTTCTCGCACTTTGGTTGCACCTATTTTGCCAAGGGTGCGGGGAGAAACCAAAACTCGGAAGAAGATCAAACTCTCTTCGGAGTCTTTGAAACAGCTCTTAGGCGCCTTGCCGGGGGGTCCTAATGTCTTTGAGCATTCGATCAAGCTGGCCGCCAGCCGCTAGCCCTGCAAAGCCACTGCGCAATTGCGCACCTTTGACCAGGCCACTGCCCTCCCTCCCCCCTCCCGCCCACCTGAAACTCCCAGACGCTGCTGACTCCCGTCCAGCTTCGCTCCTCACCTTTGGGCTCCTGGCTCAAACTTCATGGCTGCCAAGATACGCTGTACAGCACACACACACACACACCCGTGCCAAGCGCGCAAATAGGGGGTACTAACTGTTACTTGTAAGAGTGCCAAAACAATGAGTTCTTCGCAAAATCAAGCTCCCAAAAGGCTCCGCGAAAATGCGGTCGCCAGAATCAGGCAGTTGCAGTCGTGTTGAACGAACAGAAGGCCTTGGTTTCTTCGGTTTGGCTGGTCCGTCCTTCTTTTCATCCTTCGAGTTCCCATCCCTCTTCCTGTCCTGCAGGGCATGACGACGCTTCATGCCAGCGGCACTCCACACCGTCTCTGGGCAGAAGCCACATGTGCCCGTGCCTGCTCATCATCCTCAGCTCGCGGAGGTGTCACCAAACATGCTGCTGCGCTGTGCCTCGCCCTTTCATCCACACCTCTCGCCTCTGGACCACCCTCCAAATTGCCCCTCATCGCGTCCCAGGTGCGGCAGTCATCGGGATCCACTGCTCTCCAAATCTCTGAGCCGGCGCCAGCCGCGGCGAGGCTTGTCTTAAAGATCGCAGCAACCGAAAACGTGAAGGCGACCCTCTCATTCCAACACGACCTTGCGCGTGCAATGCTGCGTAAGTACACGGGGCAACCAAGGTTGGTTCCCCTACCTATATATGGCTCTAGTGTTTCACTCCCCTGCAGAAAAATACCGTGGAACCCGACAAGGATGTCACATGCGGGTTTCTTGGGCCCCACGTGACATTTGCCTTGCGGAATGCTCCCTGGGCTGAGCCTCAGGCTGCCCATCCCACCGCTGACTCCGGGGGGGCTGTCACGCTGGCGCAGCCGCCGCAGGCGGCGCGCCGGAAGGGCTCATGCCTCAGACCAACATGCCCTGAAGAGTGCCCTGCGGGACCCGTGGGTGCTTCAAAAGCACAGAAACCTCCGAGAAAAAAAAGATGTGCACCTCAAAAAGGCCACTGGCTTGAACTGCCTCCCTACCAGCCGATGCAAATAAGTCAACGGACCAAACAGGTTGCTCGTACGAAGGTCCTCAGGCCTACAGCAAGATGTTTCCTGCCATCCCCCAATCATAAGGTGGGATCCATTCAAGGCATGGAACGGATCCAATCCTGGCCAGGCAGCCCATTGGCCACCAGCCCCAGCAACAACAAGATGGGCAGTGCCAAGAGGTGCGTCCATGCCTGGGACAAGCCGGTGCTGCATGCAGTTCGACGTAGATTGCTGGCGTATGAGCCTCGGACAACCATCTGCAGGGCAGAGAGGCCTGCACGTGGCAGCAGAAGTCGAACCCGCCCCAGTCTTGGCATGGGCGCGTTTTTTTTTGGAGGCTCGGTGCCCGCTTTGGGGTGGTGCTACATGGAAGCCAAAGGAAAAACCATAATCTTGCGGGTCGACTCCATCCGATGGTTCCTGATTCTTGGCTGGCCCACTCCAGCTTCCTTGTCCCAGCCTCCACTTCCGGTGAGACGCCGCCTGCTCGGGTCGTGTGAAAAAGCTCGACCCAAGTGCACGCATACAGTTGGCCACAGTGCCAAAGATTGGAGATGCCAGTCTCCAACATTAAGCACCTGCTGTATCGTATGCTGCCCCATCCGGGTGATTGCCAAACACGCGTTCTCACCGATGCGGCAACGCATCCTCAGCACGAAGAGCCAGGAAGAGGAGATGGTGTTCACCTCCGGAGCTTTGTTCGCCGGATCTCTCGCTGGCAAGCAGGCAAAAGCTGGCTGCGCCGAGGACCCGGCAAACAGCGCGGCATGGCCCCAGCCTGATAAACACGACCAAACAAGCGAAAGCCGCCGGGAAATCCGGTTTTTTCGCTGGCGACATCCCCAATCGCCTGCTCAAAAAGCCAAATGTTCAGACCTATGGCCATGGCATAGGGGCCAAAGATAAAACCATGCCCCTCCTTGGTAGTTGCTCACGGGGAATTCCTTTGAACCCAACCACTCGCAGAAATCGATCCGACTTTTCTGGACACCCTCCGATCCCCTGCTAAAAGCTTAACTTTTCGTGAGCAAAGAAAAAATATGCTCAGGTGACATCCCCCACAGCAGCCCTCGCACCCCGCAGCCCTCGCATCGTGGAAGCCTCGTGGAACCTCAGGGCCCCCCGCCGGAGTGCTGCGCGCCCTTCCAAACCTCCGGGTCCAGCAGAACCTCTGCAGATCCGTGCGAAAAAAGGCAAGGCGTGGCTGTGGGGCACCCCAAAAAAAAAGAAGAAAGGTACCCCAAAATGGGTTGCCCGATCGGGAAATGGAGACATGGGTACCAAGACCTGCGGTCCATGTCCTGGTGGTTGAACTTTGACCCACACCCTTATTCTTCGTGGGCACTTCTCGTGGGCGTTAAAAAAATCGTGCACAAGCAAATGCAGTCAGAAAAATGAATCAAAAAAAAGCGGGATCAGGGAAGGAGGGGGGTTGAGAAGATCTGGCTGTGGCGCAAAAACACCAAAGTCCAAAATGGATTGCCCGATCGGTAAGTGGAAACATGGGTACCAAAACCTGCGGTTTGCCCCTCCGATCGTTTCATTTTGAGCCACACCCAAGTGGCTCGACGAGTGAAAGCCAACACAACCTCGCGCAAAGGTTTTGGCCAAGCTGTTGAGGAAGGTGAAACAGCGTTCCAAGGAGAGGAAAAAAAACGGTTCGATGGGAAAAATATATGCAAAGATGCCGGGCTTTCGAGGCAGACATGGGCAACCACCTACAAGTACCGAAGCGCACGGGTTTAACGTTCATAGCCCATGGAACCTGACTGTCTTTGATCAGGCACCAGTGCCAATGCCTCTCTTGCAGGTTCACCCTCAATCCTGCTCCGCCACATGCGCAAACACCCGCTGCGCACTTGGGGCAAGCTGCCTGCCCCACCGAAAACACTCTGAGGCATCCACGATGAGCAACGCACCTGAGATTCCCAGAGCCTCAGCCAGATCGCAGCAGTGTAGCTTCGCGCGTTAGCCCCTGGTTTAAGCCTCGGGTCCCTGAGCAAAAGAAAGACCGTTCAAAATAAGGGTCAGAAACCCCCAAAGCCCTACAGAAGAACATGCACCAACCGGTGTTCGATGCAAGAACCAAGCGCCCGCTCCCGGGCCTAGGAAAGGCCTTAGTCTTTCGTTCCTTCGAAGAAGAGCCTTGAAACTTCTCAAGGGTAGCGCGAGCCGGGCCTCTTCATGCGGCATCCGCCCTCAGAGCCCCGCCAGACCCAGCTGCTTACGACGGCCCAGGTGCTCCCCTCAGGCTGGAAAAGCGAACATAAATCTGGATCACTAAAAGACTGACAGTTTTGGAGGTTCCAAAATAGGAAATGGCGGAAATGAGGCATTGATGCAGGATGCGTGGTCGTCTGTGTGGGTAAGTTGGCCCACAAAGTCAATGTCCCGGCTCCGCGCTCTGTTGGGCTGCCCTCATCATACTTCTGCTGGCAGGGCATGGGAATTGCGGTTCAAGGCACGTTGGAACGTATTCATACTTTTTGGGGTTGCCATCGATGCCTTCTCCTTTTGCCGACCCCATTCTGAACAGCCAGCACCCGACCCGTTCGTCCCAGCCTCTGCGCCTTCCCAGAAGGAAGAGAGAAGAAAGAGAAAAAACAACTTGCAACTTGCTGAGCCGAGTGCCCAACAGCAGGGACAGGAGCCTGGCGTGAGTTCTGCGGGACGACCCTGCCCGAACCGCATCAAGCAACTGATTTCTTAGCGTCACATGCGCAAAGATTTGCAGCGGCCTCCTGAACGTGATGGGTCATGGAGTTGGCTGATGACCATGCTTCAAGTCCTGTAACTCCCTCAGCTCCTCTACAATGCCAGATGCCTCATGGTTTTTCTGCGTGGCGCCTTTTGCGTCGCCTCTTAGCTACAGATTATGAGCCCTGCCAAAGGCGAGCTCCAAAACCCAACACCGAGCGGGTTGCATGCTCTCGAGTGACTCCAGTTTTGGTGCGGGCTGTCAGCCCGCAGGCTGACGTTGGCTGAAGAAATCGCTTGGGAGAAAGCAAAACTGTGAAACTGGGGATTTGGCCAGGCGCCCACGGTCGCCGGTCAACCTGCCCATGTGCCACACAATTGTTTGCCGTCCCTTTCGCAAGTGAGGTCAACCCTGGCGCCAGTGGAGCCATGGCAGGGCAGAGATAGGCCATGGCAGAGGCCCTCAGAAGACCTGCTTCATCATTCCTGCGCGTGAAGGAACTCTCTGTCCAATGCTTGGATGGGGAGCCCGGCCTCGGATGATCTCCTCGTTCTTCTCCTTCTCCCCGGACTCTTGGTCGAAGACATCTTTCCTCAAGCACAGAAAGCCCCTGAGAATCCCGACCCAGCCAATGTCTGACAGACTGGGAAAGCAACACACTTGGGTTAGTACATACATGCATACCTCGTGCTGCACCCATCCCGTCATTACCTGTCATTAGGAATGGAGCGATCCGGGGTCCCAGACTTCAGCTTGAAGTACACGTCGTACACCTTCTCCTCCTGACCCAAATTGTCGCAAGTGTGGCCGTGGCCGTCCCTGGATTCGCTTCCTAGAAAGGCTTGGCACTTCGTCCTTGCCCCGCTTACCCACACGACCCCCTTGACCTACGCTGCCTGGAGCCCTGCCATAGGTGTCCTTTTAGGGGAAATAGATGGCCCTGGTAGATGATTAAACCACCAGATAAACCAGGGCCATCTGTTTTTCTAGCAAAACAACCAAAAAGAACCCTATGAGCCCAGCATTCAATTGTGGGCTACGCCAGTTGGACGCACCGCCGCCTCGGGCTTGGCGTCATCCGTCACCACGAAGAATGGGGCCCGTGTCACCTGCAGCTTGCATTCGGAATGCAAGGCTCTTGGGCGCCCCTTTGATGAATCTAGCGACATATCTTGTCACAGCCATGTCCTTTCTCTGGCACCTGCCTGCAAATATGCACAAGCTACCCATGCGCCTGACGCAAACAAACCGCGGAAACCACACAATATGATCTTCCCGAATAGTTACCCGTCGCAGCCCCGCTGACTTGCCTTTCGCTTGCTCACAAGGACACCCGGCCCACCAAAACCGCCTCTCCCTCCCCCTCGCCCCACCCATCCTCGTGCTTCCGTGCCAGAACGACGCCCTCCGAGGCATGGTCGCGCTCGTCGGCCACGATGACGCGGTCGATGCGCTCCGTGAGGTTGTCCTTCTGGATCCTTGGCTTCAGTTTTGCGCAGCGCCTTTTGTTGGTTCACCCTGCTGCTAGTGCCACGTTTGTCCAAATCATGAAACATGGGCCTGACCCTTCTAGTCAGCTGTGGCCCGCTGGGCCAGCGGCCAAACAAGAAAAAGTGTCAAGTGCCCCAAAGGCAAGTGACCAAAATGACCAAGATATACAAAGACAAACGTTGTTTACAAGGTGCGTTTGGTTGGGGAAAGTTGCTTCCCTTCAGTCACACAACCAAAGCTCCCGTTCTAGTTACTGCAGAGGTCGAGCTGCTGCTTCCAAACAAAGTCGCACTTCTGGCAGGTGCTCCTGGCTGCGAGCAAAGCGGCAAAAGAGAGTTCTGCGCTCCTCAGCCCAGAAGTCAACGCCAACCAACGAGGAAAACTGCGCAGCTGGCTGAGGGTCAAAACAAATGGGATCCCATTTTCTGGTAGGTGAATTCACCACCCAGCTTAGAACCTATTTTAGTGGTTGGATTGGTTGATGGAAAAACTGGGGCTAACCGGAATTTTGGATTTAAGCCCATGGCCAGCCGTACTCCGGACCTGTTCCCCCACCCCCGCTCCCGTCTGAGTAGATCTTCTTGACGAAGGCCACCTGACCAGCTGGGAGCACATAGGTGTCCTTCCTGGGAAAAATAGATGGGTGTCCCTGGTAAGTGGAACAAACCCCATCGAAACCAGTGGAACCCATCTATTGTCAGCGAAACTAAGCTAAAAAGGACACCTATGCCTTGGGATCCCCCAGCAAAAAGTTTAACTCAAAGGGCCCCTGCTTACAGGAAGACCCCCAAATGGCCCCAAAACACCCTGATTTAACGGTTTTCCCGTAGTCCTGTAACCCAACCCTTTGATTATTTTTTGCTGGTAAAAAGGAAATACGAGGGGAATCCAAAAAGTGAAAGTCTAAAGATCCAACCCAACAGCAGTAGAGATAGGTGTCCTTCTTGTGGAAAATAGATGGCCCTGGTAGTTGATTGAACCACCAGGTAAACCAGGAATCGCCGTCATTTTTCAACACAAGCAACCAAAAACGACGCCGATGTGGGAGCAGCACGTCCAGTTTTCTGACGAAGCTGGCAGGTTCAACCAAGCCCCTGCCAACCCTCGCCTTGGTCGCGAAGCAGCGCTCGCGCAGCAGGTGCCTGAACCAAGCGTACCCGCTCGCGAGTCGGACAAATGGCTCGCAATGACTTGCTGCGGCCTGAACCTGTGACAGTCTCACTGGTCTTCTTGTTGGGTTGTGCATTGCGGACGGTCGCTATCGACAGTTGGCTGCGAGGCTGCCAACCAAATCCGTTCACAGCGGTTGATCCCAAGGATTCGCGCCTTCCCCGCAGGCGCCCAACCCCCAAAACTCCAACCCGGGCAAATGAGATCCCGCCTGGGCGCTGCCCGGAGCAGAGAGGCCGGCAACATGGCGCGAGGGGAGAAGGCCGCTTCACTCTGAGCCGCTCCGCCTGAGCCAGGATGAGCACCAGCCAGGACGTCAGGGAGCGCAGAGCTTGTGGTTCCACGATGCTGGAAACAGCTCAAGCTGTTTCGTGCCCCTTTTCAGCTCTTTGGGCCCTGCCCCTAGCAAATGCCGGCGTTCGCTGGGCGCCGGGCGTTGTGAATACAAGCTGCAAGGGCCTTGGAAACAGCAATGAAACACACAGCCGGCTTCGGGCAGCTCTTTACTTTGGTTCACCACCGCGCCCGTTCATAGTAGCTGTTCCTCAAGGCACCATCCCTCCATTGACGGGGGCACAAATTCATTGAAGGGGCAGGGGCCAAAGACCTTACGATGAATCTGAAATGGTATCCCTTCCAGGTGGTTGGTTTCTGCAGTTTCCTTATAAATATACAAATAGGAAAAAAATATGTGTGTGTAGAGTCGCCTCGCCCTCCATCCGGCAAGAAAAAGTGGCACCCCATGACGCTGCGCTGCTAATTCAAAGGCAGAGCTCCAGAAGGCGCAGCAGGGGTCAGCGGGTCACTTAGTGCAGCAAAAAATCCCTCGAGAAGGCCCTCCAAAAGAGCTTGAGCGGCCCAAGCGGCAAGAAGGTGCATGACGAAGGCCAACCTTCCAACCCGCACGCGGGCCGCGGGCCGCGCGCTCGATCCCGGATCCTGGGAGCCCGCTCTGCCAGGTGCTCGCGGTCACCTGCCCGGGAAGCTCAAGGGCGCCGCCAACCACACAGTCACACACGCACAGCAAGAAGCTCGAGAAAAAAAATGTACACGAGCAATGATTCAAACAATGCCCTCAGCAAACATGCAAGTACGTGTCCTTCAAACTGATCTGCGCACTTCCATGTACACAGGCTGCAACTGTGTCCAAGCAACTGGCCGGCCCGGCATTTTGCTCCGTGGTCGCTTGCTCCGCTGAAAAATGGCACTCACGGCCGCCTAGAGTGGCCGTCAGTGCATCCATCGAGCTCCATCGAGCCCCACGAGTCACCTTTGCGCCGGATTCGGCGTAACTCTCTTGGAGCTTGGGGCGAAATCTGCGAGGGAGATGTCCCTGGCCCTTTAGGCACAGGGAGCTCGTTCCTGTTGGCGGGTGCGGAGTGGCTGCGGCTGGAACCTGTTTGGATTTGCAGGGCCTGGCAAAACAACTTGAATTCTGCCTGAGTGGCTCACTTGTTCTTGGTGCAAAGCATCTGTTCGCTAAACCTTGCAGTTGTGTGACACACAAGGTTTCCTGCGACTCAGTTTGTGAGCTCTTTTGCACAGAGCACCCATCAGATCCCCAAACCATGGCTGGAACTTGTCACGGGCATGGCCCAAGTCCCTCAGCGGGTCGCTCTCAAGACCGTGCCGGTTCTGCCCCCCAGCAAAGCTGGCAGGCTGTGGGAGTCACCTAAGCTGCGACCGTCGCGAACTCTCGCAAATGCTACTTAGCCTGGCAAGCTGTCAAGCTGGCAACTTGGCAGGGTGAGTGTGAGTTCACTTGCTTCCTGGGTTGTGTCTTTGTCTCACACTACCCGTTTTTGAGGCTTTTCTGGGACGCCAAATGGAAGCCACTCGTTTTGGGGGTTGCCCACCATGTCGAGGCAAGACTTGTTAGAGGCAAGACCAGCTCCCATTTCAGCCAAACCACGCATGCGGCTCTGGCCCTGCTTTGTGGGCGATACTGGACCTGGCGTCATGCATCCACGGCCTTTAACATGTCCCCCCCAAAAAAAGAAAAACGCGCACACACAGACATCACTTGCTTGGGCCACTCACGTGCGCTTTCCGGAGAGAGATTCTGTTTGCTGAATGATTTTCCCCATGTAGTAAGTGACTCGGGAAAATCATCGTTGAAGTCAACCGCCAGGAGTTGGAATGGGCGGAGTTGTCGGGCCCCCGGCTGCGGTCCCTTTACAAGTGGCATGGTCCAAACATGGTCCAAACCAGGGCCCCCCGAAACGTCAGATTCCAAGTTTGCTTGGGAGGGCAAATGTGGGGAAGAGACCCTAAGCTTAAAAGGGCCTCGGACAAAAAAGGCCCTCACAAGGCCGTGGGTCAAAAAACCAACGGGATCCCATTTTGGGGGTAGGTGAGTTCACCACCCATTTTAGAACCCATTTTAGTCGTTGGATTGGAACACAAAAGCCGCCCCGCACCTGGCAGCCGGGCGCTTGATGTCCACGGCTGCACCCGGAGCTCCAGGGTCTCGGCAGGCAGGCCTCGGGTTCGAGGCAAAAAAAACAAAAAAAAAAACACTCCAGGCCGCGCCCAAAGAGTCCAACGCTCCTGCAACAAAAACACCTGGAAGCCGCAAGGCCGCAAGTGCCAAGCGTAGCCGTGCGGAACGTGAGTTGGGCATACGGTGTAGGTACGATGATGCATGGCCATGGGTCAAAATCCAAATCGCACCCCAGTGAACACCCCAATCCAACCACTCTACCCCTAAAATGGAGCCATTGGTTTTGACCCACAGCCAAATGACCCTTCCTCCCACGTTGCCGTAGCAGCTTTGGCGTTTTTGTGGGAGAGTCCCTGGACGATTCATTTCCTCAACTGGTTCCTCCAGGGGCCTCCTGTCAGGTGCCATGTTAGTGGTAGGGAGCGCACTGCATTTTTACTTTGATACAGTTTGCAGATACGAGCTCAGGAGAGACAAAAAAAAGCAGAAACCGGCGTTCACCTCAGTCGCACTTCCGCGTAATCACCTAGATAGGTGTGGTTTGGGACTGTGGGGACTGTTTGCTCTCAAACCTCAGGCCCTCCCGCATAGAACTGCTTGACTTGACTCGCATCGAGTTGTTGAACAGTGGGTAACTATGCCCATCACGGCTGTCCAAGCGCAGCCTGCGATCTTTAGGCTCAGTTTGAGACATATTTACACCAACTTGGGCTTGAGCAAAATGCTACCGCGCTGTCTTCCCTTTTGACAGGCCAGTAACCCCCACTTCACGGAGGGCGCAGCTCATCTGGGCTTGTCGCCTGAGGGGACACCCAAAATGACTGGCCTCCCCCTCCAAAACAAGACTCAAAAAGGCATCCTCAAAAACAACAGCTGCCTGTGTCCAGGCCCAGCAACTCTCCTCCAGCAACTCTGTGCACTCGGAGCCCTGGAAGGCGCAAGAAGGCTTGAGGGCATGAGTCGGGAGCGCCGTTTCTTTGTCGAAGAGACCCTAACCTACCACCGCCACCACCACCACCCCCCCCCCCGGTCTGTGAAGACTTCAGATGCCCATTGATCATCCCTTCAATGGGACTAGGACAAACCGCAAGCACAAAGAATAATAATAATAATATTTTTTTTTTAAAAAAAAAAAGAAGAAAAAAAAGGGAGGGAGGGTCGAGGTGCAAACCAAAAACACCCCAACTTTTCTCTTTTTTTAGGAAAAAAAAAGGAGGGGCCCTCAACCAGCCGGCGAGCCATCCCAAAAAAACATCGATGCACCACCTCCATCCTTCAACCCTCGCCTCCTCCGGCGGCAGCTTCTTGCTGCTCAGCCGGCCTGATGCGATTGAGACAGGCGTCCTGCTCCAAACGCCAGCAATTGGAGTCAAACCAAATTTTTCGGAACCAGCGGCATCCATGTTATCCTTTCACGCGTTTCGCACAGAGTAAGACCGAGTAGGGAACTACCCTGGGCGCAGTGCGAGGCCACACGCGCTACCTTGGCATGTCTCACCAGAAACCGCCGCCAAAAATCCGCTTTCGTGGCTCGTGCGCGAATGACCGGCGCCGCTCGCTGCACGCGCCTTCCGACACGCATGCTGTACCTCTCTCTGCATGTGACCCCGCTTTTTGCGACCGGACTCCAATCGTGTTTTTCCTTTCGGGATCGAATGGAATTGAACCGAACGCAGCCAAACAGCAAATATGTTTTGTTGCTCACCGCAACAAGCATGTGCGGTTTGTTGTTGCGTACTGCGCACGCCTTTGGCCAAAAAACAACACTTCAGACGGCAAAAGGAGGAGTGCGAAAAGGAGCAGGTAAGGACCTAAAGAGGATGCGATATACAATCCCCGTTTAAACAACAAAACGTGAGGGGGCACATGCAGATAAACATGCACATCCAGTTGAGTCGATCCAGGCGAAAATGTTGAATCGATCAGGCCATGCCTTTCTCCTTGATCTGCTGCATGAGTCGGCCGTTCTCTTCCGACATCACCTCATCCTAAGCCACGCGTGTTGCGGCCGCGCCTGCGCGCCTGTGCGCTCCTTTTCGAGGGCTGTCGGGCCCTGGCCGGCATCACGTTGACCCACATCTTGCCGCCGTCCCGCCGCTCCTGCCAGGCGCTACGGCTGCAAACCACCTCTAAGTCCTCCAGTAGAGAGGGTAGAATAAGGGTACCCTTTTTCTGTAGTCTAACTTAGTAGGGGAGCCCTCCCAAAAAAAAAAACAAAAAACAAAAGGTAAAAGCGCACTACTAGAAGACCTAGACCTGGATCAAACCTCCTGGCCCTTCACCTCGCTGGAGAACCTCCGTCCTCGAACTGCACGCACACGCGGTTCGGGTCACTGCTGCGGGATGGGCCCAGCACCACTGCCTGGACAAGGCAGCTCGATCCACAACCCACTGGCAAATCACTTTTGGATTTGCAGCCCTTTGGAGGTGGACGCCCTTTTTTTGGGGGAGGTTTGCCGACCAGCGGAAAGGGAAATCTTTCACTTTGCCGAGTTTTGCACGGCAAAACCCGTTTATTCCGCCCTGCAAGACTCACCTGCAAAAGCCCCAAACAAACTCATGTGCTGCCGCTGTCGGCCGGCTGCTTTGATTTACACCACATACTTGGCGGATTGCGTTGGTCGACTGAGGATGGGCTGCCGTTGTCCTTTTGCAGATGTCACATTCACTAATCCGCTCAGCTGTCACAACAGAGTATCGCTGAAGTCTTCTCAGCCAGCGCGTCGAAGAAAACATCAAACCGTGGCTACCGCTCGCGCTCCAAGCCTTGTCCATGTAGGCCGCCATGACGTGATCCCCTCAGTCACTCAACCCGTCTTGATGCAAGCCGGTGTCCTATTGCCAGTGGTTGCCGGTCAGAACTCAATCAGTTCGTTGGGTACACTTCTCAAGGAACCCCTCCAAAGTAAAAAGACCGCGCCCGCCACATCGCATAATAGAAGGCACAGCTGCAAAAGTCCCACGTCAGAATCAAGCGTTTGGTGCAAAAAGGAAGCCAACCTCCCCCACCCCCGCCCCATGTACAAGAGCTGGATGCTGGAACTGGCCACTGATTTCAACACACAACCGATTTCAGCACCCGCAGCTAACTCATCCCTGCCTTCCAGATAGAGATCCCTGGTGGCCATAACCTGCTGGCCCTCCACGAAGAAGCCGGGGATGTTGGCGCGCGCCTTGCTCCTAGGCCAGGAGCAAGGGTTTCTCACTGCCGAACGAGTGGATTGGCCAGAAAAAGTCCGAACTTCTTGTGTGCCACTAGAATGGCCTTCCCAAAAAGTTGTTGAACGTCCATGAACTCAGGGAGTGAGGTTTTGAGGCGTCCACTTCAGAGCAACAAAGACGGAGCCTGCTTTCCTTCTTGAGGTCTTCAAACCATCGCCGACATCGCTCCTCCTCCTCTTCTCGCTCCTTGATTCACCTGCAAGCGCAGGAACTTGACCTTCCAAAACAAGAAACAGGTATCCAACAACCAACCAACTACCGATAACCCCAATTCTCAACAACCACTAGCCACCAATAATCAACCGGCTACTCCCCTTTGAGTCCAAACCTCAACACACGTGTGTGTGTGTGTGTGTGTGTGTGTGTGTGTGTGTGTGTGTGTGTGTGTGTGTGTGTGTGTGTGTGTGTGTGTGTGTGTGTGTGTGTGTGTGTGTGTGTGTGTGTGTGTGTGTGTGTGTGTGGGTGTGTGTGTGTGTGTGTGTGTGTGTGTGTGTGTGTGTGTGTGTGTGTGTGTGTGTGTGTGTGTGTGTGTGTGTGTGTGTGTGTGTGTGTGTGTGTGTGTGTGTGTGTGTGTGTGTGTGTGTGTGTGTGTGTGTGTGTGTGTGTGTGTGTGTGTGTGTGTGTGTGTGTGTGTGTGTGTGTGTGTGTGTGTGTGTGTGTTTTTGTGTGTGTGTGTGTGTGTGTGTGTGTGTGTGTGTGTGTGTGTGTGTGTGTGTGTGTGTGTGTGTGTGTGTGTGTGTGTGTGTGTGTGTGTGTGTGTGTGTGTGTGTGTGTGTGTATGTGTGTGTGTGTGTGTGTGTGTGTGTGTGTGTGTGTGTGTGTGTGTGTGTGTGTGTGTGTGTGTGTGTGTGTGTGAGAGTGTGTGTGTGTGTGTGTGTGTGTGTGTGTGTGTGTGTGTGTGTGTGTGTGTGTGTGTGTGTGTGTGTGTGTGTGTGTGTGTGTGTGTGTGTGTGTGTGTGTGTGCGTGGAATGTGATGTGATGTGATGTGATGTGGTGTGGTGTGGTGTGGCGTG